GGGCAAAGTATTTTTACAAGCAAAACGAGAAATAGCAATTGACTGTTTTATAAAAATAATTAGAATAATAAAGATAATGATTGGGGAAAACAGAAAAGATATGGAATGTTGAAGTGGGGAGATTAATGTCTCTGTACTGACTGACGCGCATGGCATTCCCTTTTGAAGAAACAATGTAATACACTGTAAAGTTATATGTAATCCAATGTAATATGAAGAAGATATGATGATAAAAAATAAATAAATAAATAAATAAATAAAAAAAGAAGTGGAAAAAAATGGGATCGGCAGGTGGCATGGTGCTTAAGGCATTAGACTTCCACAAGGTTGACCACAGTTTGAGTCCCAGACCTGGCAGCTTCCTTTTTCGCTTTCCCTTTCTGTCTCTTTCCCGTCAAATTAAAAACAAAGAAATTATAAATAATACATTTTATTTATTAAAAAATAAAATTTGCTCTCTAAAATGGGGATTATTATTATATATTTATAAAGCTAACTGATGCTTGATGTAAGGCGTGTGTATGTTTTTTTTTTTTTGAGTTGTATTTTATGTTTTTTAGTTAATGACTTTTTTCGTCATCTTATTGGACAAGTACAACATCTTCCAAAGTGAATTAAAGCTATACCCAAGTTTGTCAATGCTGGATACGGAGGGAAGATGTGCCTAAGTCCCCAAACGAATCTTTTACATAAAAGAGTAACAAACGGTTAATAAGATCTATCTGATAAGCACTCCCCAATGAAACACTTTATAGCCTGATTGGCTAACTATGGCCCAAGGGTCAGATCTCATTTTGGTAAATACAGGTGTATTGGCACACAGCCATACGCTTTCCTGCTACAACAGCAGAGTTTAGTGGCAACAGAGATCACATGGCTTGCAAAACCTTTAGTACTAACAATGGAGCCTTTTCAGAAAAACTCTACCAACCACTGCTTTAAGACAGCATTCGTTAGTTAGGTCACTGGATTTACTAAGAGTGTAAGTTCCATCAACAGCCATTTCAGTTTTTTGGGCATTGTAATTGAATGACCCAGCAGGAACTGCTCATTTGTCATTTTGTTAATTGTGTGTGTGTTTGTTTTGCTATAGGGTCGGCGTTCTTGCCAGACAGGCGGACAGAAAAGGAGGAAAGAGAGAAACAGCCCCCAGGGGGGATGGCCATGTCACAGTCCCTTCTCTTCTATTTTCCTCTTGGGATTTTGGGTGCGTGTGCACACACACCTCGCCTGTTTTTGTTTAAAAGAATTATTTTATTAACTTTATTATTTATTTATTTCTAATTTGACCAGAGAGGGAGACAGAGAGAGAGAGAGAGGGAGAAGGAAAGTGAGAAAGCAAGCCACCAGGTCTGAGACTCAAACTGCGGTCGGCCATGTGGGAGTTTAACCACCACGCCACCTGCTGGCCCCTTTGTTTTTGTTAAAGAGATTTTTCCTATAGGGCACATGCGCTCACCGAAGAGACAAGAGACAGAAAGCGAGAAATCAGCACCACCGCCCCCCGGGAGAGTGATGGCCATGCCACAATCCCTCCTCCTCCATTATCCTCGTGGAATTTTGGGCATGCATGTACACATGCCCACTGTGGGTGTTAAGCTGCCAGGTCCGGGACTCAAACTGTGGTTGAGTATGTGGAAGTCCAGCGTCATAACCATTTTGCCATCTGCTGGTCCCCATGCCTGGCATGATTTACATGTCCCTGGGTCAGGATCTTGAACCGTGCAGTCAGCCATGTGAGACCCCGCTGCCTTAACCTCCACGCCACCTGCTGGACTGTGACATGAATTTATGCCTATTTCATAGACTGGCAGACTGGGTAGTTGTTTCCAATTCCTTCTCTGTGATGGCACTGTACATCTGCCACTTTGTCATGTGACCCGAGGAGCTTCCTCAGGGTAGATGGAGGATCCATCACGGCCCTGGCACGTGGCCATGTGATCCGCTTTGCGAGGGGAACATGGGCAGAAGCGCCTGGCTGTGAGGTCTCAGGTGTGATGGGTCATGGCGAGTTTCTGCCAGCCTCCTCCCAAAAGAATATGCCCGGAGGGCCGCTGCTCTTCCAGTCTTGGAATGGAGACATGGGAAACAGACCTGAACCCGCCTTGAAACCTGGAGTCCAGCCTAGTCTAGCTGAGCCCCCTGCATCCCAGGGAGAAGTGGCCGAACCTCCGCCAACCTTCCAAACCACAGGTGTGAAATAACACGTTCGTGTTTATAAACTGACGATAGCTTTGAGGGCGTAGTCATGCCACATCATCACAACAGAGACAGAAAAGACTGACACGTTTAGTTAGGGTGCTGTTGTCCTTGGGGGCTGAGAGAGACCAGAGCTTCCCTCTGTGACTGGGCCAGAACCTTGTGACATGGCGGGGTCAGCCCTGTCAGTTAAACAGAGAGGGACCTGTATTTCGGATGGGAGTACAGGCGGAGTGGGAGACAAGCCGTGCTTTCAGAGGGAGGCAATGGGAAAAGCAGCCTCAGGTATTTCCCTGACACATCAACAAGATGCGTTGCTAGGGAAGAAGAATCCCAGGAGGGTAGCAGAGAGCCCTGCCAGGGATCCAGAGGAGAGGTTAGCTGTCCTCGCTGCGTAAGCCATGAAACAGAACGGGACTTGACACTCTGGGGGGAGCTTGTAGAATAGGGAACCTGCCATTTACCCGCTGGGATGTTTTTATGCTGCTGCTCTGATTCACTCCCGCCCTCCCTTAATGAATAAGGTAAATGTCTCGTGTCCCAGACCCCCTTGGCTGGGTTCAAAGACAGCGGGGCATTCTCTGTGTATGGCCAGAGCTTTGAAGAGTGTGAGATCTTCCCTGGAGGACAGCATGGCTGCAGCATGAAGGTGGCACCAGTGCCCTGAGAGGGACACCTAGGCAAGATCTGGCTGGCTCTTCCTGCGCTTGACCTCTGCCACGAGGCACAGAGTAGTCACACTAGTCTCACTAGAGCTGTGATTCCAGGACCCATGCGTGGACTGCTCGGTGCTTTCCGGTGGAGAAACAGCCTTAAGGGGACAGATTCTGTGCGAGGATGAAAGCACGCTTCCTCAGAATGCATCAGTATTTATTCGGAGGATTGGCAAAGGGCATCTTAATGAGGAGGTTGGCCTGGGCAGAAACCCAGGCTGGAGAGAGAGCCACTGAGGGGCATTGGTTTATAGCAGAAAGTTATTTAAACTCACAGGAACAGTGCAACAAAAATCACAGGGGAAAGGGTCAGCCAGTGGCATGGTGGTTAAGGCTGCTGGATCCAACATGGCTGACAGTCCAGTTCAAGTCCCGGATGCAGTGACTTGAAAATCATGCCAGGTGAGTGTGCATACATGCCAAATCCTGAGAGGAGAGTGGAGGAGAAAGGATCGTGGCATGGCTTCCCCTCGGGGAAGTACTTCCTTTCCTTTCCTCTCTCTGGCAAGTGTATGTGCACTTTAGCCAAACTTAAAAAAATCGAAAACAATAACAAAAAGTCACAGGGAAACAATTACCTTTCTGACTCATAAGGATCTGGAAGAAGAGCATCGGCAGAAATGCAGGAGGAAGTCGACTTATCGAAGTGGTACACCGAACCTAAAAAGCAAGCCCAAGGACAGAGTTAGGGAAGAGCCTTGGAAACACTTCTATCCTCGGGACAAGCCGGAGTTAGATATCTCAAGAAGTGATTCAAGCAATACAATTGGACAACATGCTTCAATTTATGTGGACCGTTTGTAGATTTCCTCTTCCGTTTTATTTTCAGAGCCTAATGAACAGTCAGCCATTATGCACGCCTCTTAAAATCCACACTTGCTCTTGATTAAATTTCATTCAAATGATTTTAAAGATGCTTGGGTACTTAAGATCTTTAATCAAATAAACGCTTTGTCGTGACATTTCGGCATCTCTCTGGTTAGATCAAATTGGGTAATGGTTTTACACTTTTCTCATTTCTTTTTCCTTTTTTCATACCAGCGACATTCTGTAGAATCCAGCCACTGAGCCCGGGTGGTTATCCTCTTTACTGAGAATAAACATTCTGCCTCCCCAGAATTAAGGGGAACAGCGCTGCTTTTGATAAAGCATTAACAAAGTCATCTCATTTCCATTAGGGTGGTTCAGAAGCCAATTAGTAATTTATTGTAGACACTAAGGGATGCCATCATCTTAGAATTAACACTGACTGTCTGCAAAGGATGAGCCTCAGAGGATCCTCCCAGAACACAGTGAAGACACACGATGCTCTGAAGGCTGATAAGTAAAGAAACGAGATTTGTGGCTGGAGGGCTTATTCCGGCAAAGCAAATTATTTTATGCGCTAAGGCATCACTAATAATCCCATTAAGCAATGCCTCACTGGTTGCCAGTGGTTACCAGGCCCTCTTTCTGTGTGCGCGTATTTTAATATCCAAAACACAAATTAATGCCTCCAATCGAAAGGTAGAAAACAACCCAAACCAGTGCCTATCTAGGGAATAGACTGTTTGTGTATTTCCAAGAGAGAGAATTGAATTCAGGGAATTGGTTATATAGGGGATGGAAGAGCTGAGAAGCCAACCAGGGCCCGGTGAGGAGCCCAGACATTGACAAGAACAGGAAGCCACCACCCTAAGCCAGAGGGACAGAGGAGTTGGCTGCATTCCTGCAGCGGCAGAGCTGGGGTAGCTGGGATTATGGTGCGTCTTCCTGGTGGGAGATGGACAGGTGGGTGGGTGATGAGGCCACTGTCGCAGACTCTCCTGACACAGGCAGGGCTTCTTCCTGCCACCCCGTTTGTCCCCCGCCAGCATCCTCCCTTTGGCTAAACCCAGACAAAAGTCAGATGCGTGGGTCACTGGGAATGCAGCCTACAAGGGGTAAGAGCCCGCTGTAATAAGCGCTGGCAGGGAAAGGATCTGAGCGCAAACACGGAACAGGCAGGCACACGATCCATGAAGGAATTTAGTTCAAACATATACTCTTTTGGGGCCAGCAGGCCACACCACAATCCCTTCTCCATTCTTCTCTTGGGATCTTGGGCATGCACACATACACACGCCCGGCATGAGTTTAAGCCACTGGGTACGAGACTCGAACCACAGTCGACTACATGGGAGTCCAGCGACATAGCCATTATACTAACTGCTGGTCCCTTTTGAAGCTGCAACTATCCAGCATTTCTTTAAAACATCTGAAACCCAAAAGCAACTTGTTGATAACCTCCCCCTTCTTGTTGCCTTAGTTTATAAGAGTATTTATTATTTACAACCAGGAATTATAAGAAAACAGTCATTCCCTTTGAAGATGGTCACTCTTAAACGCTGATGTTTCTATATACCAAGAAGAATGTCATAATAGCAATAACTTTCAACATGGTGTCTTGTGGCAGGCATTAATATCCATATTTAAAAATGAAGCGACAGGTTCTTAAAGGATGAAGAACTTGCCCAAGACTATAATATAGTAAATATTAGAGCTGGGACTCAAATTAGGTGATGCTTAAGTTCAGACTCTTGACAATATACATGCTGTCACTTCTGAAGCTGTGTGTGTGTGTGTGTGTGTGTGTGTGTGTGTATTTATTGATGGATTGATTTTAGGTTTTTGCCATAGGGTGCATGCACTTACTGGAGAGAGAAAGGCAGAGAAAGAAAATGGAAATCACCTTTTAAGGGGCATGGCCATGCCTCAACCCCTTCTCCTCCTTTCTCTTATCGGGATTTTGGGTATGCATGTACACATACCCAATGTCAGGTCTGAGATTTGAACCATGGCCAGTCTTGTGGGAGTCCGGTGCTCCCACCATCATGCCACCTGCTGACCCCTATATTTTCTTTCTAGGGTCAACTTTATAGCCTAGTGGTTGAAGAAGCAGAATCCCACACAGCCAACAGCAATTCAAGTCATGACCTTGGCAGCTTGAAAAACATGAGGGGTGCATATGTGTGTGTGCCCAAAATTCTCCCTGAAGGAGAGAGAAATGGAGGAGATGAGACTGTGGTGGGGCCACACCCTATTGGGGAGAGCTTTCTCCTTCTGTCCCTGCTGAGTATGCATGTCCTCTGGCCATTAATTTTTTTTTTTTAATTTTGCATCACCACATGGGACAGTCCCCTCCCCCGAGTCTCATTTCTAAATATTTTAAAACTGCCTCCTTTCAGAACATATGGCAAGAACACATATTAAGAGTCTAGTTCAAAGAGTACTGCTTCCTTTTTAAAAAATAAAATTTTCACTTTGGAATTCTTTTAAATATATAGAAAATTGCAAAGATAGTACAGAAAGTTCTCCCTATTTCTCCTAATGTTAACTTCTTATGTTGCATGGTACATTTGTTAAAATTAAGGGACCAATGTGGATTCATTGCTATGAACTAAACTGAATTTATTCAGATTTCACCAGTTTTTCCCTTTTTCTTTACCAGGATCCAAACCAGGATCCCACATTGCATTTGGACAACCTAAATTTTTAGCTTAAAAAAAAAAAAATGCTGACACATTTAAAGTAACCCAAGTTGTATTTAAATGTAAATGCTAACTTTCTGATCTTTGGACAATTTTCCTTTTGAGATTCTCCTTTAGATTTTGATAACTAAGTATTATTTAGGCCTATGAATGCTTAGCTACATTACCTTTTCTACTCTTTTCTCCTTATAATGTAACCTAGATCAGAAATATCCAAAGGGTCTTCACAAAGTTTATGGAAGAGCCATGTTATGAAAAGGCTATGTATGGATTTCAAAATTATCTGCACCAAAATCAACTTGTACTTTAATCCTATTTTTCCATGAACTTTTCAAAGTCCCCCTTCTATGGATATGGTATACCGCTTTCAAGGATCCTGACCAGTTCAAACAGCTTCCTTTTATTTTTTTAAGGTTTAAAAATTATTTTCTTTGCGATAGGACACATGTGCTCACCAGAGAGAGGTGGTGAGAGGGAAAATGAGAAATCACATCTTAAGGGGATGGCCATGCCTCAGTCCCTTCTCCTCCTGGATTTTGAGCATACACACACACGCGCGCACACACACACACACACACACACACACGCCTGACATGATTTTCAAGCCACCAGGTCCAGGACTTGAACTGCAGCTGACCATGTGGGAGTCCTGTGTCTTAAATGCCACACCACCTGCTGGCCCCTCAAACAGCTTGCTTGTGCTATGCCACTCAAAATGCAAAATCTTGATTTATCTTTGTATTTTTATCTGTATTTTCCAGATTTTCCATAGTAAGTACAGTCACACATCCCAGCCATGGGGATAGGTTCTGAGAAATGCATCATTTGGTGATTTCATTGTTGCGTGAATGTCACAGAGTGAACTTACACGAACTTAGAAGGCGTAGCTTACTATTACTTGCTATAGTCTGTTATAATCTTATGGGACCATCATTGTTTTTGAGATCCATTGCTGACCAAAACATTTTGTGTGGCATGTAGTTAATTTTATATTTAAAGACAAATGTTTCAGTGTGGCATGTTATATTTCTTTTTTTCTTTTTTCTTTTTTTTGAGAAGTTTTTGCTATAGGGCGCATGCGCTTGCCAGACAGACAGAAAGAGACAGAGAGATAGAAAGCGAGAAATCATCCCCCCAGAGGGGATGGCCACACTGCAATCCCTTCTCCTCCATTCTCCTCTCGGGATCTTGGGCACGCACACACACGCGCCTGGTGTGAGTTTAAGCCACCAGGTCCGGGACTCGAACTGCAGTCGACTACGTGGGAGTCCAGCGACATAGCCATTATGCTAACTGCTGGTCTTATGTCGTTGTATTTCTAAAAGGAAATAGGTTTTCTGCTATTATGGGTGCTCGACTTCCTGTCTCACTGATGTTTGGTTTGGCATGTGACTTGCTTTGACCAATAAAAAGTGAGCAGGAGTGACCTGTGTTAGTCCAAGGTGAGGATGTAAGAGACATCACAGGAGACCCTTATGCTCCAGAATTCCTGTACCCCATCATGAGGAAAAGTTGTCCCAGGTCACCAGTGTGCCTTCAGACTAGACACCAGAGTTAAGTCATCTAGAGCAGGCTCAACCCTGACTAGAAGCCTCGAGTTCAGTTTGGCAGAACAGCTGCTCAGAAGACTGCTGTTGTAAGCTATTGGTGTGTTGAGGTGTTTGTTACACAGCAAAACCTGACCGATACACACCATTGAAGTGAACTATCCAGAGGAGAAAAGAAACATCTCTCAAATGATCCCTAACAACTCGCTTTGGAATTAGAGCAACCCATCAGAAGCAGATTGAACTTACTTCCAGGCATCAGTTCAAAGTGAGGCCTGCCTTCTTCAGTAGACGTAAGAGTGGCCAGCTTTCCTTCTATCATCTCTCCGTCGATGAATTTTCCATAGAGTGCCGTCCTCTCATCTGGGTACACGTAGGCTATCTTCTCTCCAGTCATTTCTCCGTCTTCATTCACTTCTCCTACAAGACTGCCTCCATCCTGAGGGCAGAAACCAAAACCCAGAGAACATTATATATAGTATTTATCTATAGGACACAGGTTCAAGACATTTCTCTTCTGCACTGCCGTTACTTGCACCAAGATGGGCCAGAGCTTTTCACGCGAGTGAGAAAAAGTCAATGCCCATCTCCTCATCCAGCCCCATGTACATATTCTGTGAGGAAGGCAGGCGTGGAGGGGCCCGCAGGCCTGATTGAGTGAGTGGACGGCCGCGTTGGTAATCCTGGATGAGCTGCTACTCTGTCTCGGTTCCTTATCTAAGAAGCAAATATGTTACACTTGTAACATTCGTTACAGATATTTAAAGAAAATGTAACTTCTGTAGATGTGACTTCGGGGCACTCTCAAGCAGTGATGAGGGTCTGTACCCAGACAAGCTTACCTACTTAGAAGCATTTTTCATGAACGTAAAGTACACCAGGGAAATACTTAGCACTTTTCCTCCTCACAAAGTAAACTAACGTGATCTCACATCTCTAACTTTTGGATTTCTAGTCTATTAAAAATGTTTAGTTCCAGGGACCAGCAGATAGCGTAATGGCTATGTCACTGGGCTCCCATATAATAGACCGCGGTTCGAGTCCCGGACCTGGTGGCTTAAACTCATGCCAGGCGAGCGTGTGTGCCTGCCTAGGATCCCAAGAGGAGAATGGAGGAGAAGGAATTGCGATGTGACCATCCCCCCTGGGGGGTGATTTCTCACTCTGTCTCTCTTTTTCTGTCTTTCTGGTGAGCACATGCACCCTAAAGCAAAAACATTTCCCCCTGCAAAAAAAAGTTTCTTGGCAAGCAGCTGGCATGGTGGTTAAGGCACTGGATCCCCACGTGGCTGACCATGGTTCTAGTCCTGGACCCAGTGGCTTGAAAATCATGCCAGGAGTACATGCATGCCCAAAATCCCAGGAAGAGAGTGGAAGAGAAGGGACTGTAGTGTGGCCATCCCCCCAGGGGATGATTTCTCACTTCCCCTCTCTCCGTCTTTCTCTGTTTCTCTCCAGTGAGTGTACGTACCCCACAGCAAAAACCTAAAAAATAAAATTAGTTCCAAATATGTTTAAGAATTAATTTAGTGTAATTTAGTATATCTGAATAAAGATACAGCTGTCTGCATTTTCTAAGAAATAGTCAAAAGGACTTCTGGGTACTGCCTTTCTGAGAATTTTACACCCTCCCTTTATTTGGAGTTAGAAAAAGTGAAACAAGGGACCAGCAGTTAGCGTAATGGCTATGTTGCTGGACTCCCATGTAGTCGACCGTGGTTCGAGTCCCGGACCTGGTGGCTTAAACTCACGCCGGGCACGTGTGCGTGCGTGCCCAAGATCCCGAGAGGAGAATGGAGGAGAAGGGATTGCGGCATGGCCATCCGCCCTGGGGGGTGATTTCTCGCTTTCTGTCTCTCTAGCTCTGTCTCTGTCTGGTGAGTGCACGTGCCCTATAGCAAAAACCTCTCAAAAAAAAAAGAAAGAAAGAAAAAGTGAAACAAGACCAGCTAAACTCTTCTCCCTCCTTCCTCACTTCTCTCCTCTTTATTTACTGCCCCCTCTTGCCTCCTTTTAAGAGGGGAGCCTGCTTTGTTTTGGGTTTAAGTCTTTCATTTATAGTCACGTGTCACAACAAGGTTTGGGTCAGTAATGTGCCATATATACTCTGGTGGCCTCGTAAGATTCTTTTTGTAAAAAGAATTATTTTAATTTAATTTAATTTATTATTGTATTTTTCAAAAAGACAGATTTTTGCTATAGGGTGCATACGCTCGCGCAGAGAGACAGAGAGACAGAAAGCGAGAAATCACCCTGGGGGCTGGGAGATGGCCATACCACAATCCCTTCTCCTCCATTTTCCTCTTGGGATTTTGGTCATCTATGCACATGTGCTCAGCGTGAATTTTAAGCTGCCAAGTCCAGGACTCAAACCATGGTCAACTACGTGGGAGTTCAGTGATGTAGTCATTATGCCATCTGCTGGTCCCTATTATTATTTTTAAACTTTGACAGGAGAGAAACAGAGAGAAAGAGCGAGAAAGAGAGAGAGAGAAAACAAGCCATCAGGTCTGGACCTTGAACTACGATTAGGCCTGTAGGAGTCCAGTGCCTCAACCACCGTACCACCTGCTGGCCCTGGTCTGGTGAGTCTAGTAGGCTACCCCAGATAGCTTAGGACGAGCAGGCGATACCATCTAGGTGTGTGGAAGTACACCCTGCGTCGTTTGTATAATAACGAAACCACCTACTAATGCATTTCTCACAACATGAAGCAACACATGACTCCCTTCATGCCCAAGGACCACGGAGTACCTCAGGGTTGAGGCTGTCAGACAATTCCATATCTCGGAAATGCTAGGGCCATGGCAGGTGATCCATAAGTATTTCTGAGTTGAAATGGGACAGCAAATAGTAATGAATAATTTATTCCAGGATGCAAGAGGGTTTCCCTCCCCCTGCCCCAATCGTTACGGTGTAACTTTAGAAATCTAGGAATGAAAAAAAATATATATATATATAAATCTATCTGCCTAACTAACTAACAATAGCAATTCTGACCAGAATAGCTTGGTCAGTTTCCCAACTCAAGGATCTAGAGCAGTTACTCGAAGTCATCGAGGTAGGTGACAGCTGAGTGATCCCAAATACTGCTTACTGAGAGACAGCAGGAAACAATGACGCCAGGTAGGCGATCCATGAAGCTCTCCATGCCCTAATTGCCATGGGGCAGAAAAAGGCATACATTTTAAAAGTGGATCACAGCACTTCTAGAGAATTAAACATACTCGGAAGGATTTTCACGGAGGTGAAGTACATTGGGGAAATATTTAGCACTTTCTTTTCCTCCTCGCAAAGTAAATTCTTAATAAGCCAGCATCAGTGGGGTGATCCTTCCTGCTAGGTGTGCGTTCAGGCTCTCAGTGATTATTAAGCTGACGTGTTAGAGCATGTGTACTTTTTGTAAGCTGTAACTACTATAAGCCATCACGCCACTATCTATTTATTGTTTTTTTCTTTTTTTTTTTTTTGAGAGGTTTTTGCTATAAGGTGTGTGCGGTCACCAGACAGAGAGAGACAGACAGAAAGTGAGAAATCACCCCCCCGGGGGGATGGCCACACCACAATCCCTTCTCCTCCATTCTTCTCTCGGGATCTTGGGCACGCACACACACGTGCCTGGCATGAGTTTAAGCCACTGGGTCCGGGACTCGAACCGCAGTCGACTATGTGGGAGTCCAGTGACATAGCCATTACACTAACTGCTGGTCCCACCACTATCTATTTAAAACAAGCCTGTCTTTCTAGGGTCTCACTCCTGTTCACTTACATGCTTTAAACATCTGGTTTTGGAGGAAGTATGACTAGGATATTGGGCCGAGATTCTTTTACTTTTAATTCTTTTGCTTCCAAAGATTTCCCTCTGGGTCTGAGGCTGGCCCATCTTTCAGTGCAGAGGGGAGGGAGCAGGGGCCTGTCTGACACGTGTTCCACTCCACACCTGCCATAAGAAAGCTCAAAGCTTGGTCTCTAACACCTCTGTCTGTTTCTTTTCTTTTCCTTTTATAAAATACTTATTTATTCTATGAGAAAAAGAGACAGGCAGGAATTTTTAATTTAAAACTTTATGTCATAGTTCCAAAGTAAATTTTTGAAAGAAATACTGTTTTTAGAGCTGGCTCCGTAGTACAGTGGTTGGGGGCTGTGCACGGGAAGTAGGATCCAACATGGCTGACTATAGTTCGAGTCCCATTCTGGGCAGCTTGAAAAGTACGCTAGGCATGTGTGTATGTGTACCCAAAATCCTAGCAGGAAGAAGAAATGGAGGAAAAAGAATTGTGGATGTGACCACACCCC